GATATTGCTCTCTGCGCAAATCAAGCATTGCTACGACAAGAGAACTGAAAATAAGAATTTTCTTTAAATATTCTAATTTTCCAGCTTAATGCCAACTTGCTTTAAGAACCAACAATTGCAGTGAAGAAAATACGAACTGCCATCCGGTCGACGCTTTCGCTGAGTCAGCTATACATTCCAACATGTCCTTTATCTTCCCTGATAAGCTATGGCTTAAAGTCTGCTCCTCACTTATGATGAATGAAGCTAATGACTCTTCTTCTTATGATTGATGATTGTATTAGCACTGTCCAAAAGCTCTTTATTATGCCATTCTGAGAACTCATTGACTGTGGTCTAGTTGAAACGTCAGAGTTATTCAGTTTGTGAATTTAAAGCAGCTACTGGTTCAGCACCATTATTCGTATTTTTTTAGGATGTGATTAATACCTGCAACCATCACGAGAGTACCTGTGTACTTTAGATTAGACATCCTGAAATCAACACTGAATTTGTATGCTTAACATTTTAACATTTGACCAGACTTATATCATTGGCGCTGGGATCATAATTTAGTGAAATTTCCTTGGTATTTATTGCGGTACTACAATAAAAGCATCTTGAATAATGGTTTCTATTAGTGTTTAGATACTGGTTTAAATGTATGAAAATATTTAATAAAAGGAGGTTAACAATGATTTCTCCTTTCACAAACTTTGTGCTTCAATATAAATATGGTAAACGCTTTTTCAATCGACTTGACGTTCATTAAAATAGGGCAATTGTTCAGTGTGCTAAAATATTATCAATGCCATTTAATGGTGTCTATTATTTGTACGAAATACTTTTCCAAAACAATTAAGAAAATATAAAACTAATTAACTGACGACAATAATGAAAATAAATGAGAAGTATATTCACTTTTATCCTGAAGTCTTTTATGAAATACTAGCTGAAGATATTATTAATTTTTTTAAAGAATTGTAGTTAACTAGTAGACTTGAATCTGGGTACCGACGTTCAGATTATTGGCATATTACGTATATTGACCTGTGTTTAAGCAGGAATTCATAACCTGGTAGAATTTGCTGCTCTTAAGCAATAGCGCTGATAACAACCTCGTGAAATTTGTCTGTCCTCCCTATTACAGACAAAATCTAGGTGATTGAGAGTTGATTACTTGGCTCTGACGAATGCTCCTCACCACCTACCTCTGCCTCATTTCTGTATGCTACAACGCATTCCCATCCGAGGGAATAGACGAGTTCGAAACCACCCGAAAATCACGCATATACCCAACTCTTTCCTTTGCCCGGGCAAATAGAGCCCGAGGGAAAGGGGAACACCTCATTAAGATTAGCATTTAATTACGGAGCCATGAAGATTGATGGAAGGGACTTCAGATAATCGTGGGCTCATCCGAGAGCATTTTAACCGATTAAACAACATCGCCCTCTTAATTGGAAAGCCTTCCTTCCTTCCACCCCCCTTCTCTGTACATCTCCCTTCCTCCCTCCATGGCCGCCATCTTGATGGACAAAGTTTTGGGTTAAGTTCGGAGGGTGTGTGTGGACATTACTTTTGTGAAAGGGTCGACGCCCACTGTTAGTTTAGATGTGCTATTTGTTGATTGGTTGTTGGAGATCAGTTGGCATTTAAGGTGCTGGCGCGTGGACGCAACTTTTGAAAACCTTGCGTGTTGCAACACGTTGGGGAAAGTGTGATACCAAAAATACCCCAGTGCCTTGAAATATTTTCAGAACTTTGAACATGATATAAGTAGCATAAATAAAATAGCAGACTGCTGTTAATTATTCAGTACACTGAAAAGTTGCTTTAATTTAGCATTCATAAAGATGTCCTGCGACTATTCATTACCTACATCAAAGATCTTCTACGTACCCTTTCAAAGAAACAGAGTACGCTTAAGCTATTTTTAATTTTTACCCTTTTCTTTCACATTCTGCTAATTTACACTTATGTGTCATATATCAAAGTGAAAGTCTAATTTCATACTGTTCTATTTCAGCAATATTAACGATTTTTTTGTTCTTTAATTTTTTGTTTTGTTTTGCTTTGTTTTGTTTGTAGACTCACCAAACTAAAGTGTCACCTAGACATCGTTCATCAAGCGCAGTATTTATTACTTTCCCAACGCCCAAATGGTGTGAGGAGTAGATTTTAAATATATTGTGTATTCTTTTTTTTAAATTTTACATGGAAATGTAAATTAATCAAGTAATATTAATTGCACTAGTTCAAAATTATTAATTAGTTTCTGTTAAAACAAATTGAGAAAATGAATATGTTTTGATTCTTCTCTCCCCCCCCCCCACTTGAGTATCGAAAACTAAGACGGAACTAAAAGAAATTGAAAATACCAAATGTTTTTCATTTGGTTCTTTTTCATCAAGTTCTTTTCATTTTTTTAAAGAATTGCATTTCAGTAACTATTAATTAACAATGGAGTAATTAAAAGGTTTAATTAATTTTTAGATAAATTCATTAGATAAGAATGAAAGAAAAGATACTTAAATTCAATTTTGAATGAAATATAGAAACTAATGCGCTTTTAGCAATGGCGAGACAAAAAAAAAAAAAAAAAAAGTCTTCTTTTTTTAAACCGAAATGCAGAATTATTCAGTTATAATTAATCCCCTTTAAATGCTTAAGGAGTTGTCATTTTGTCGTGCAGATCATACGTGCATAATTTTAATTACGTTAATTATGAATTGTCTCGTATAAATAATTGTCGCTTTCTAATTTAAACAAATATATTATTAGGAGTATTTATTTCTTCAAAGGCGATAAATGGAAAACGCATTTTAAAAGTTTTTGCTTAGAAGATGAATGATAAAATTTGGACTGATGTTCGTATTCAAGTTTAAATTGCAAAATTACATCATCACCGAGAAAATTAGATTTTATTGCTGAGTAATGTGTGTGGGAGTGAGAGGAAGAAACTTAAAAAGAATCATACTCAGTCTTCGTCGATTCGCTTATGGTAGAGTGTATGTCGCTGTTTTCCATTGTACAAAATATTCTGCCTTGAAATTCATGGTATGCATATAATTATCGCTTTTTAAATTAAATAAAAATTTGATTAGAAGTATATATTTCTTTTAAAGCGGCAATTATTGATGCAATTACTTAAATCTAGTTGTAGTTAATAGGTTGCAAAAACTCCATCTTCTACGAGATAAAATGAGAAACCTTGGAAGATGATCCAACGCATTCATTCATTGCTCATCACATTGGAAGAACAAAGGGTTTTGCAGCACATTAGCGGAAGGGATTGATTGCGGCGTAGGGGAGGGTTTCGATTTCAAATTATATCAGTTTGGGGAGATTCGGGAGGTTCAAATTTTCATTCGAGTATACATGATATATACCTTAGGGCATGCTTACGCCATTTGATCGTGAAATCTCGGCCCTGATCTACTAGCAGCTAGGAACAAAATCTGCTCATTGGAGCGCTCACCTCACAGGGTGTTAAACCTCCCATTACAATACTGGAGGGGTAAAGGCGAATAACAATCATTGCTTTCTCTGATTTACGAACTTCTATAAGCATTGGGGGAATTGTAGTAGGATTACTCTGGCGTATCTGCGCTGCAACAGCCATCATATAAAAAAGTAGTGATTCCATGTATTTAGGCAAGCATATTGCTTTTTTTAACTTTGTCAAAAAAAAAACTTACAATCATTTTATGAACATTATACTTTTTTAATGCATGAAATTTGAAATTTAACCATTAAATGCAGATGTAAACATTTTGGAAAACATAATTATGCGCCTCTACGTATATACAAATGGATGTGAGAATTTTTACTTACTATGCGAAGTAAAGAAAGACTTATAATCTCAAAAATTTTCGGATTGCAACGGAAATATCAGTTCTGACAGTTCCCGAATCTATCTTGACTATTTTCTGCGTGACCGCTGTACGCATGAACAGAATAAAGAACTTTTTATTCAAAATGACTTTTTTATTATTTATCTCACCTAACTGAAAATCAATTAGCCGACCATTTGCACAGAAAAGTGTGTAGAATTATAAGTGGTGACCCTGGAAGAAGTTTTCGCCTCCCTTCGTGGTGTAACTGGAAGCACGTTCAGCTGCCAAATGGAAGGTCCAGGGTTCGATTCCAGTTGAACAATCAAAACAGAATGTTTTTTAGCCGCATAGATGACTTCACTTCTTACACTGTACTTTCATTGCTCTTTGCTATAAAGCGGCTCCCAGCACACATGTTCTTCAGACTTGTGAACGCATTTGGAAGCACTGACATGGATTAAACAGGCTGATAAGCACCATTCCCAAGTGGAGCAGCTATTTGGAGTTGGTAAAATTGTGCTTGTTTTTGTAGATTTGCAGGAAAAAGTTTACGAGAACAGCAGCCAAGTTTACTTGACTCCTCTGGTTTTGACGAAAGTGCTGTTATCAATCGTGGCATGTAATTCTATAAGCATTTTATAGATCCGGTAAAGATCTTAGTTATGTTATGTCTTCTTGATGCATACAAAGTTTATTTTTCCATTTGTAAATTTATTTTGTCAGAGTTTAAAAAAGTCAGATTTTCTGTATTGTTACTGAGACATCCGAGCAACCACTTTCAGTGAGGAAGCAACCGTTTTATATATGAATGCAAATGATTATCAGTTCTCCTTAATGTTGATCGATTTAGTGTTATATTTTCTTTTCAACACACTAAATCGTTCTGTGAAATTTCGCTATATGTATAAAGAGATGGTCATATTCAAATTCAAATAAAATTTTATTTTATAAAGTTAACTTATACGTTGAAGATTTAAACTAAGTAATTTTGGAGAGATGTTTCTACTAGTGAACTTGTATATATGCATAGCGTGTCTGCGTGTCTGTCATTCTTTCCGAAACCCTCAAACGAGAACATAACTTTCCCAGACTGACATTTTCTGTGTTTCTATATCCCCCTGCTATCTTCCCTTCTACAGCAATCTTTATTCACAATTTACGTTCTCACTTTTAATTTTGTAGATGTCAAGAGGAGACCCGATAACGTCTTTGGCTGCCGAACTGGCTGTCATCACCGGGACGAAGTCTCTGATGGCAGGGGACATCGTTCACACCGCTGACATCCTTCACAGGTTGGTGGCGGAAATGGCAGAGAGGACAAGAGTTATGGATGATCCTCAACAGAGACAGCGACTCCTATTGGCTCTCTTGGAGGTACAGTTTCAACATTATTCACGTCGTTATTTATTATTCGGCACAGCAACATTATTTTGCATTTAAAATCTCTCCAGTGATCGGATTTTGAAACTTGTTTACCGTTGAAGCGTGAAATGTAGATCGGGTAAAAATACAAAGTGTAGAGAAGTTTTGAATGGATTTTAGTTTAAGCTTGATTAACAGAGACAGTTATATTTAACATTATGCTTTATTACATACATGGTTATGACAAATAATCATTTAAAATGTTAAACGTTATTCGTTAGTGGTCACAATATCTGTAGGAATAGTGATATACTTTTATGTGCGCTTCACATTTTAATTAAATTTAGGAGTATTAATGGCATTTTTCTTCTTAGTTTTAATATGGTTTTTAGTAGTACAGTCAACCAAATTATAATAATCGGTCAACATAACAGAATTGAAATAAAGAACCAAATTATGGCCTTTAGTATAAGAAATTATTTTTCTAAATGATTTTTTTTTTGGCAGCCACTTCTGAAGTTCAATGACTTTTAATTATTCAAAATGTATGTCTCAAAATGTGATTGATCAGTTTACCAATAGGCTGCCACTTCAAGTCATTCAAAACGAAGATATTGTATTATAACGAGCTAAAACTCAACGTGTGTAAATTATTTATTTTAAATGGTATTTTCAGTGCTTTTTGTGGAGGCTACTGCTATCTAAGCTTGAAAATTTTGTTCTCAGAACAACTATTATCAAACCTAGTTGTAAAAGTAATATAATGTAGTGTGGATAAAAAAGTTATTATGGTTTTCGGGTTAAAATTCCCTGATGCATTTAAATAACTGGTTTCCTGGATAAAATTAATTCTGCACTAATGCATTTTTGATAATATAGATAAAACGGATGATGCATAGGTAAGCTTTATTAATAAAAGAAGTGGATTCCCATCATTACTGTATAAATTTAATTTCATTTCTTTAATGTACCGCAGGAAGAGGGCTATATAACTATCTACTGCTTGTTATCATCGCGCTTTTTAAGCCGTATTGGCTGACAGTTGGCAGATTTGCCTTCTTATTTCATTGTATCATAATTGATAATTTATATCCGAAGCTCTAATAAAAGCTAATCTATACGCTAATGAGTATTCTATAATACCTACTAATATTTTTTATATATAAAATAATGTATACAGTAGACTTTGTGTTGATGTCACGGGCTATGAAAATATACTTAATTATTCTTCTGAAAATTGCTTGGGTGGAGTTAAGGGGAGTTTTCGCTTATAGAAAAACTTTTGAGTGATCGATATCTAATTAAAAATCCCCCAGATCTCCTATCTAGGTGATAACCTTGTAAGGCTTCTCTCATATAAAAAAAGGTGACGATGATGATAACGGAAACAAAAAACTTTAAAATAATTAACACCTGTTGTTATCCTTGCACAAAATGGATTATGAAGGTCATTAAGAAGGAGAAAATTAGATCGATTTTCTTTATAAAAAAACTTCAGGGCAACAGGTGTTTATAACTTAGGGTTTGATAAATATGTTTTAAAAGAGATTGTATTACATCCTTCCAGCTTTGCTTCATAAATTTTATAACTTTCAAACCTTATTGTTAGTTTCCTATTGTCTTGGACATAATACTGTAAAGTTCTTAACGTATGAACAATAGTCAACGTAGATGCTAAGAAGTAATCAGTAGTTTTAAATGTTAAATTCTAATGATAATGGTCTTTTAAATGGGTAATCAGAAAATAATAAATTTACTGTATAAAATGTGTAGCAAAAACAGTAGCATGTAATAATATCTGGTGGAAGATGAAACTGAGCAAGAACATGTTTGATTTTTGGCACTTACCCTTCTTGTGTTCCGCAAAGTATTACACTGATCATCAAAATTAAAGCATAATGACAGAAATAAAACGTAACTGATACTTAATGAAAAATTATTAACAGAAATTTATACAGAAGCATTAGTTAACATAAATTATAATCATTGCAGTTGATTATTCACAATCTATTGAAATTAAGACCAGATTTATAAAAATTGGAAAATGTTGGAAAAATTAATTTATCTCTTGTGGATAAAAAAAGTTCTTTGAGATTAATGTATCCTAAGCTCGGTCAGGTATGACTTTACCAAAATTTTAATCAAGTCTTATGGAATTGGACGCAACTCTTCTAAAAGTGCACTTTTTAGCTCCTGGAGGGTCTGGGGAGGAATTTGGCGCACTGAAATTCGACGCCGTAAGGCATACCACACATGCTCAATCGAGTTCAAGTTGGGTGAGTAAGGTGGCCAATCCATTCAAGTGATACCCTCTGTTTGCAAGTATTATGACACCACATGAGTTCGATGAGGCTGAGCATTGTCAACCATTAGCAAAAACTCTGAACCACCACTAAATTGTCTAAGTTGGGGTTTCAGTATCTTGTCCACATATCTCAAAGGGGTTACAGAACTTCCTTGAAAGATATACAGCTTGGCGCTGCCATTTGTTATGATTCTTGCCGAAACCATTAAACAACGGTCGCTGAATCAAGATATCAAGATCAAAACCAGTCTGCAGGTACTATTCAAACTATATCTGGACTGGTAAACAACGGGCCCAGTCGTCTTGTCTTCATTGTACATGACCATTGCACCAGTTTAAACGGGCCGCTCTGGAGGCTGGAGTCAGTGGGATACAAACCATTCATTTTCTCGCATAAAGTCCAACCTCATTAAGCCTTCGTGCAGCAGTAGAACGGCTAATTCGATTTTCTGTGGCAGCCTGAAGGTCTGAAGGTCTTCTTGTAGCGACTGCGCGGTTTTGTTCCAGCTGACAACGACAGAAAACAGTTTTCTGTTGCAATTGTTTTGTTAGTCGCCCTTACATTACCCTATCTTGGCTGTCTATCAACAGATCCGGTGCTCAAAAAGCGGAATCAAACTCTTGATATGACACTTTGAGGGATATTTAAATCTTTGGGGACTTCCATTTGTGTCTGAACTTCCTAGATTTCATCAATTATTCGTCATTTTTGACGTTCGCTTAAATAATGTCTTTAAGCTATAGCTACTGAATGCTAATCACTCTCAGAAGCCACGTTCACTTTAAACAGTACTACAGACCAGAATTCCAACATGCATCCATTGCACAACACATTGTCAGTCACCGAATTCACATATTTCCGGCGCTAAGGTATGCGCGGAAGTGCATTTTTGTGTTCAATTGTATTTAATTAACATAAGTAATTGCAGCATTGGGCACTGGTTGCTGCATTAACTTAGCATATTTTTTCTTTTTAGCCTTTAATTCTGATGGCCAGTGTATATAGATAAAAGTTAACTACTTTTATAAAGCAGACCAATGAATAGTGTAACATATGAAGATGCTCAGAAAATATTAAAATACTACACAAATTACATTGTATTTTTGGGGTCTTTTTTTAAAAATATATTTTTAATTGTAGTACTGATAGAACACAGACTTAGCTTTCAAATAAGTGATTCAAAGTATAAAATTTGATAGAAAATGTGTCAATATTACGTTTAGTTTAACTGAAAAACTTCATTAGTTTTTAGCTTTAGAGTTGCATTAAATTCCCTAGTCCCGAAAATACTAAAAGTAAATGATTGTCTCATCATAAAAATATGAAACTTAAATTATCTTATAAATAAATCAGCGACCTTCAGTTTCATCACCACTATTATCATGTCATAGTTAAACTGTTTTAATCTGATTATCTTTAATATAGCTAAGTTATCGGAAGTAAAAATTAGCATAAAAATTAGATATTTTAATATGAATGTAATTTTAAAATTAAAATTTGAGAGAAAACAAGTGAAAGTTGTTTGAAACTTGCATTTATCTCAAAATTGGTAAAAACTATAATAATTTGAGACTAAGTTATGTTCTTTTTCTAATTTATGTTTCCCGTTTTCTTTACTTTTTTGTTTTATTTTTCCTTTCCTTTATTTTCTTTCTCTCTTTCTTTTTTCGTGTGCGTGCTATGTGTGTTTCAAATTACGAGATTTTAATCATGAACCCTTTACGTACAAGCCCATTTCTACGAATCCATTAAGAATGTGCTTATTAGTTCAGAATTTCGTGCTAAAAGTAAACTAGTTTTTAATTTTAGTTCAGAAACCTTTAATTTTAAAAAAAAGTTAAGAGTATCAAATATACTGGATTAGCAATCTTAAAATTTAATAATAAATAAATAAATAATCTTAAAATTTTATTTTGCTTTACTCTCAGGCCCAAAGGGATTATATAATAAGCAGCTTTCAGGATATATACATGTATTTGTGAACGCATTCGGAATAATGACTAGACTGTATGGGCTTATGGAACGCCAAATACATTATATGTTAAAAAAGTAATTCGAATAAGACATTGTATTTTAATGTCTTTTACTATTACACGATTCCCTTTAGTTTGGTTTATTTGTTATTTAAAATAACGTAAACAAAAATAGAATTTCCTGTTTGCTATTACATTAAAAAGGGCCTTACACGTCTCTTTCTCAAGATATTAGAATTACTCAGTCTAGCCTGCATTCTGACATCCTTTTGGAATTCATTTAATCTTAAAATTAAAAATTAGAAAACAAATGGATTGCAAGCTTTTCATATTTTTTTAGAGTTTATTTATAATAACGTATGTTGAATAAAAAAACCAGGGTGAATGAAGTTTTATTTTGTTGCAATATTCTGATTCTCTGTCAGTATATATCGTATTAATTTTTTAATGCTAGTATTGCTTTATGCTCAATAATTGCGGTAAGCGCAATAATGTCTAATCTTCAGATTGTATGCAAGCACATCATTAGAAATTTTGATGTATTTTCTCCCCAGCTAGTTACACAATTATGCTTCAGAATATAGGAATAATTTTCCAACTGCTTCTACTTCGGAAGTAGTCAAGCTATTTTAACTGTGTAGCTAAATTTTATATTAACGAAATACATTAAATTTTCCTGCATTAAATACATGTTAAATGTTATGTTCGTGTGAATATCATTCTATTTTATTTA